AGAATAGAATAGAATAGAATAGAATAGAATAGAATAGAATAGAATAGAATAGAATAGAATAGAATATTAGAAAATAGAGTAGAGTAGAATAGAATAGAATAGAATAGAATAGAATAGAATAGAATAGAATAGAATAGAATAGAATAGAATAGATATTGGAAAATAGAGTAGAATAGAATAGAATAGAATAGAATAGAATAGAATAGAATAGAATAGAATAGAATAGAATAGATATTAGAAAATTAGAATAGAATAGAATAGAATAACCGAGTTGGAAGGGATCTTGGAGGTCATCTAGTCCAACCCCCTGCTCAGGCAGGAAACCCTATATGCCATTTCAGACAAATGGCTGTCCAGTCTCTTCTTAAAAACTTCCAGTGTTGGAGCATTCACCGCTTCTGGAGGCAGGTAGTTCCACTGGTTAATTGTTCTCACTGTCAGGAAATTTCTCCTGAGCTCCAGGTTGCTTCTCTCCTTCCCTCCGTTGCTTCTTGTCCTGCCTTCAGGTGCATTTTCGTACTAGGTTGGTGGCGCTGCCGCCGTGCTTCATTCAGTCTTCCGGAAGCAAAGCCAGTTTGAAGCAAACCAAAGACTTAATGGGAACCCTCATCTCCAGACGTCCTCCGTGGAGTCAAAGCCTCCCCTCTTCAGGGGAGGCCTTGGAAGTTCTCAGCCGGCGAACCCGTCCGCCCGTTAAACGTGATGCCTTCTCTTCTTGTATATTCGCAGCCCCTCGTACTGCACCAGGACAGCAGCATTCTGGATGCTCAAAGTCTCCGCTTGGAAAGACGGACTTTATTTCGGTAAGATGGGAACGCTGCTCAGGTGCCTCTTCCCTCCCTCCCTCCCTCCCTTATGACTGTCGTTCACACTTAACGGCTGTTCGCAGCATCCCCACGGGCCACGTGGTCCAAATTCAGACGCTCGGCAACGGGGTTCGTATTTGTGACGGTCGCAGCACCCCGCGGTCGTGTGCGATCCCCTTTCGCGACCTTCCAGCGGGCAAAGCCAACGGGGGAATGCCGGAGTCACTTAACAACTTGGTTATACTGGGCAGTCCTCAACTTAGCGACGATTCGTTTGGTGAGCGTTCGAAGTCCCGTAAGGGAGATAGGGCGGTATATAAATTTAAATAATAATAATAATAATAATAATAATAATAACAGCACCGAGAAAAACAACTTGGGACAGTGGCCCACGCTCAGCGACCTTTGTAGCCTGACCCGTTGCGGTCACGTGATCAAAATTCAGACACCTTTTGGCAACTGACTCCTACTTACGACCGTTGGTCGTGTCCTAAGGTCACGTGGTCCCCTTTTGCAAGCCTTCTGACCGGCAAAGTCCATGGGGGGAGTCAGATTCCCTTAGCAACCGTGTTATTAAAGTATCCGCTGCGGCGATCCACTTAACAGCGGTGGCAGGAAAGGCCATAAAACAGGGCAAGGCTCGCTTTACAAACGTCTGGCTGAGCGGCCGAAATTTTGAGTTCAATTGATGTCGTAAGTCAAGGACGATCTGTATTCTGAGTGCTGAATCCAAGCAACAAGGATGATGTTTCCAGGATTGTGCCTGTCCAAGAGGAGATTCAACCGAGTGGGAGTTGTTTTAAAAAAAAGCCACAATGGCAACTGTGAACTGTACGATCACGTTTATGACCTGTTGGACGTAAATACACCGAATGCAAAAAGAAAAAAGGATATTGTTGTCAGTTTTCTTAGCTTCCCACTTTGTCAAAGAGACGGTGGGACGAAGCCCGAGTGGCTCTCGGTAACAAATATTCACTCGGTTTGTCTCTCCCGTTTTAGGCTCGACCTCGTCCCTATAAACCGATCGGTTGGCTTAAAGGCTAAACCCACCAAGCCGGTCACAGAGGTTCTGCGTCCGGTCGTGGCGAAATATGGACTGAATCTTAATAACCTCGTGGCAAGACTAGTAAGTAATTCGTTAAACTATAATAGTTTTTGGGTTTTGGGGTTTTTTTTTAGTTTCATTGCACGGCGTTTTCTTTACGATAAATAAAAACGGTCTTACCTCGTTGCTTATTAAAAGACACACTAATCTCACCCAAAGTAATAGGATTATAAAGCAGTTTCATACTGAGTTCCTTTATCTCTACATGTATGTTTTCTAGAATTCCAGGTAAGCGTAAGTTTTATTTCTTCATTTGTTTAGAATGGAATGGGAATTGAATAGAATAGAATAGAATACAAAATAGAAATAGAAATAGAAATAGAAATAGAATAGAATAGAATAGAATAGAATAGAATAGAATAGAATTACAGGATAGAATATAATTACAGGGTAGAATTAGAATAGAATTAGAATAGAATAGAATAGAATAGAATAGAATAGAATAGAATAAGAAGAGAGAAGAGAAGAGAAGAAAAGAGAAGAGAGAATGGAATGGAATAGAATTAGAATAGAATAGAATAGAATAGAATAGAATAGAATAGAATAGAATAGAATAGAATAGAATAGAATAGAATTACAGGATAGAATATAATTACAGGGTAGAATTAGAATAGAATAGAATAGAATAGAGAAGAGAAGAGAAGAAAAGAGAAGAGAAGAGAAGAGAGAAGAGAAGAGAAGAGAGAATGGAATGGAATAGAATTAGAATAGAAGAGAAGAGAAGAGAAGAAAAGAGAAGAGAAGAGAAGAGAAGAGAGAATGGAATGGAATAGAATTAGAATAGAATAGAATAGAATAGAATAGAATAGAATAGAATAGAATAGAATAACAGAGTTGGAAGGGACCTTGGAGGTCTTCTAGTCCAGCCCCATGCTCAGGCAGGAAACCCTATACTATTTCAGACATTTCTTTTATTCACGTCGATGCCTCCTGAATTTGGGCAGCTGGCAATGCATTGGGCAGTACAGGAACAAA